TCTTTTTTTTGCTTTTGAGTCCCTGAAAAATCACATCTAATGAAATACAGTCGTCTGTAATCTACACAATTTCGTTTAATACGTTTTTCGTGTATGAATTTAATTGTTTTTTTACATGTTTTTCAGATATAAGAGTGAGCAATGTCTTTGTCTGTGTCTCAAAAATTTAGTATTGCAGTCACACACACACTTCTATTATATGATCTTAATTAAATAAATAACAGTATTTCCTTTCTTTCTCTCTTTGTCCCTCAGTTTCAAAGGTTATGAAATAAAGCATTTGATATTCGTTGTATGTAGAAGTCTGACAAAAATGATGAAACGTGTTTTGATTTCAGAGATTTTATTTGATTTATATCACCGACAAAACTATAGGTTATTATAAATGCAACCAGCTCAAGGAGATAAAATTCAAATCAAAGCTTTAGAACAATGAGCTAAGTTTGCGACGGTCAGATAAATGAAATCACTTGTCCTCCATTTAATTTAAAAGTGTCATTAGGCTTGTACTTGTCATTCTACTTGTAAAATTTAGATAAAATCTCAAACGTGTTAAATGAGTCAAGAGGCTTAAGTATTAATATTTTTCAAAATTAAAATAAAACTAATTCTTATACTACACTCGTACTTTTAAACCAAGCGCATGTAGTTTACCTATATGCGTGATTAATATTGACAAATACATACTTTTTAAAAGAAATTTTCGGCAAAAAACAAAAATTGACCTGGCTGGAAACACGTGATTGCATTTGTCATATGACTATGACGTCCCATAAATTTAGCTATTGATTCGCGAACAAAAAAAAAAGGTGTCTTCCTGAATTTAAGATTTATCAAGAAAAAGTGTTGTGACGGGCTCACGCATTTTTTCATTGACATGTCCTTTTGGGTTCTTTGGGGCCAGAATGAATGGCAACTCTTTTCCAACCAACCCGAAAAGTAAAACGTGAAGGAAAGATGCAAATTAGGAAACTTTTAAATAACAGAAGTTTAGAGTAAGCTGGGTGGTATTTGGGGAATGTTATGTTATTACGTGTTTTAAGTGTGAAGAGATTTTCAAGAAGTTAAGTGACAGTCAAGAGAGGTTACCCGGTACAGAGAGCCCTTAGTCAAGGTGCATACCATTGCACGCCAGTGAACCGCAACTTCAGCTAGGATCAGATAGATTGATACTTCGTTGGACATTAAAGGTGGAAGTGACCATTTAAATACTCGGATCTGAGTGTACATTGGAATTGATCTTAGGCGAGATAGTTATTGATAGTGGTCCGGGTTACGTTATTTCGGTATTATATATTGTGTATTTAGCCACCGTAGATTCTCTCACATATCATAATATTATCTAATCTGTTATTGGTATGTTAAGATCTTAATAAAGTAATATTAAGATTACGGCAGCTTTTAGTTCTTCATTTATTTCTACACCTCTAGCTCACGCTGATAATCTAGGAGAAGGGCACCCGAGGGGGGCACCCTTACAGTGTGTAAAGTTCGAATTGTTGTAACACTATAAACTAGAGGGCTATTGAAAATGGCCATCTCATTTTTGTACGTAAAGAACAGGGACGTCTTAAGACTTCTTGAGACCCAGGGCCTCTACAAGAATGTCCGCAATGCACAGAACATGAAGCCCACTAATCACAATTCTGCCTTTCTCTTGGACATGTCTAAGTTCTTTGAAAGGGTTTGGCACTAATTTTTGATTACCAAACTTTACGACATTTAGTATTAGGTTAGTTAGGGCCTTTCCATGGATTTCAAATTTTCTTAGCTACAGATCCATTAGAGTAAAATACAACAACTCTTTGTCGGTCGGACCCGTTTGGCTTTAAACAGATAAACAGAGAGTACCGCAAGGTTTGGTCCTTAGCCCTATCCTGTTTCCCTTATATATTTCTAGGATTGAGAGAGAGATTGCCAAAATTTGTAAAGTGGAAATATTTGCTGATGGCATTATTATATGGAACTGTGGCTCTGACATTGATGCAATCAAACTTAACCTCAATTGTGCTCTGAGAGTAGCTCATTGTTTTGCAGAGCACCTAAATTGACATTTAACGTTTTGAAATCGGCGACAACTTTCTTTACCACAAACAGATATCTCTACAGTTACCAGCCTGCAATCTTTATAAATGGAATTAAATTGAACTATGATAGAAAATGCCAAATACTTAGGTCATATACTGGATTAGGAGATCACAAGTAATAGACACATTGAAAGCCAAGTGGCCAAGAGCAGAATTAGACTTAATCTCCTCAAGTTCATTTCCGGTCGTGACTGGGGTGCACTTCAGACAACCAACATTTCTCTGTTTAGGCCAATATTGGAGTCTATGCCAATATCTATGCCCGCGCTTCCAAATCAAATCTGGACAAGCTGGAGAGAATTCAGCTGAGTGCTGCTAGAATCATTTCAGGACTATGACCAAGATGTCCGAATGGCATTGTGCTCTTTAAGAGTAACCTGCTCCCGCTATCGTTGAAAAGATCTTATGGTCTCACAATATTATAAAGAGCTTTCCAGTTTCGGTGCTCAGCATAGAACTTCTGCGTATCTTCGCGACTGGACAGACAACCAACGTCTGAAGAAACATAGCCCTTTTTCTCTTGCAAAGATATTGGGTTTGCCTTCTGCTAATGTGGAAACTCCTTTTTATGTCCAGTGGGCTTAGATCTGAAACTTGAAGGAATTAATTTCCGTGGAGAACTTCTGACTAGAGTTGTAAAACACTTTGAGATTCCGGATCTCTTCAGACAATTGGCTTTGGAAACAATATAAACTGTATCCCCCATACATCTTTAAAGATCTGTACTAGGGGTGGCGAACCTTTACGGATCAATGTGCCATTTTTTCTAAAGAAGTGTTTAATGAGGTATAGACGTGCCGTCAAAAAATTTCAACTTGTGTGATTATTAGGAAAATAATAAAACTAAATATTAAGAACACAAAATTCTTTATTTACTTCTAAAAAAAATACCTTTTGCACTGTACAGTTGTAAATGTTTTAGTTATACATGTAATTCAAATTAAAGTAACATTAGTGTTCTTGCAGATTGGATGACAAATAACTTACATTAGGATTGTAAGATATTACTTTGCAGGCTCAATTGGAATCATCTGCCAATCGGTTTTTAAGCAATGAATTATTTCTGCTGTGGTTCACTTTTTCGACAAAAAGATTTGCGATTTGCTTCAAAATGCCGTTTTACACAGACGAGATGTTCTGCATACTACTATTCAAGAACATAAAACACACCCGCTTTGCCACCTTTACTAATAATGCCATATTTCTAAATTTACCAAATTTGAAATTCTGTGTTACACTTACTATCTTGCAATTTTTATTCTTTCGATGAACTAGCCATGTTAAATAACACAAATAATCTTTAAAATACAGTTGGGTCAATGAAATTGACTATGCTATTCGTAGATAAACTTTACATCATAAGCAATTGCTGTACAAGACGTAACTAAGGCAAAACAATAACAAACGAGTGTGCTCCCCACCGCACCGCTACCGATCACTCGCGTTTCTTTATAATACTTCATAGTGAATTTTATTATTTTGAAATAAAATGCAAACCATTTTGATTAGTGGCGTGCCAAAAATATTGTGTCGCGTGCCATGAATGGCACGCGTGCCAATGGTTCGCCATCCCTGATCTATACTGATGGTAGCAGAGGTGATGGGGGAATTTCTGATAGGGGAGTACACATCCTTACTCCTACCGGAGTCATGAATATTAAGATAAAACATCCAAATTTGTGTTCAGTTTTTAGATCGGAGCTTATTGCCACATCAGAAGGGATTTGCAATTCGCATGTGAAACCGAGGCTCAGTTTTCAAGACTTTTGGATTCTGACTGAAAGCCATGCTTCAATACAACATCTGTCCTATTTTAGATCTATTGGAGACCAGACTAACCTTGATATTCTCTTAATCTTCTTGATCTGATTTCTTTTAATTATCGTGTACATTTTCAGTGGGTCCCTTGTGTGACTCACCCCACACCATTATTTAGTCGAAAGATGACTGTCTCTTTGTGTTTGGGAGATTGTGAGTCACATTTATTTGTTACAGGTTACCATTTGTACAAGTGTATTTGACATTTTATGGCTTATTATCTACTTAAAAGGGCCTAGTTGCTTAAGGGCCCAGGGCCTCAATGTCATAAGACGTTACTCTCTCTCTCTCTGTGTGTGCGCGCGCAAGGTGATTAACTTCCGTTGAAATAAATCTGCGGAAGGTGTAAGAGGTTACAAAGACCATTCAGAATTGAATGACATAACAGGGTCATCATTTTTCACTCTGCAGATTTCTTATTGAATTTTTGGTGTGGATTAAATGTATATTAATAATAATTATCAGTACATGTGTTTTGAAAAAAGTAAGACTATAATAACTTGAAAACAAGTCGGCTCAGGGGTTTAGAGGTAGTTTGCAAGCCTCGTTAGCCCAAGGTTCTTGGTTCGGTCTTGACCGAAATCTATAGATTTTTCTGGTTGCGAAAATAGTAGGCACGCATGTTATATGATTATGTGACATGTTAAAGATACCTTGAGTATTAATTTGGCACTGGTTCTTTTGGCAAAATTAAATCACGTCAATATTTAGCATCAGACAAGAAACTTAACTGAATAAATTCAAGCGTCAAAACAATTTTGTGTAGTTGAGTCACCACAAGAGGGTTCCACCAATGAAATGGCTCTCTCGCGTGGGGACGCCGTAACTTCAAAGGCTTTTATACCAAAATTCAGCCCATTGGAAACAAACAAATAAAATAACTTGAAAACACTTTTTTGTTTTTGTCGTGTGTTTTATCCTGGGATACACATATGAAAGAACAGAAACATACAATGCAGATACAGAAGAGAGAATATAGACTTTTTATTACAAACGATGATCCCAGCATAGAACAGAAGGGATATGCTACTTTCCATTCGAGACGGGAATCCAATTCATGCGAAAGTCCGACTTCTTTTTCCGAAGGGACATCCATGCCTCATTCGGGATTCGAACCCGAGGCCACTCAGTTACAAGCCGAGGGTTGTATCCACCATAATGGCTGGGCGGCAAACACTTTTTTGAAATAATATTATTAATAATAATTACATTATTGCTAAAAGAACATCACTATAAATTTACAATAGGCTTTATTACTTTTTCTCGAAACTTCCTCGATTGTTTATTCAAACTTCTTCGAAGGGGATTTTAAGAATTAAACTATATAATCTCCAGAAGGGAAAAAAAAAATATTATCACTAATGAACTATAACACGAATAATTTTTTTTAGATACAATTTTAACGCAACACAATCTTTCAATAATGCTTTTTAAAAATCACCATACATTAGAGTTGTTCACAACGCTCCACACTCTTTTGAACGCCAACCCATCTAAATTACCAGCTCGCGACACAGAAAACCCATCTAAATTACCGTCTGCACAAAGGAACCGATCTCATTCATGCAATTGAGAGATCAATTTATGCCTTAAAAAAAAGAGACATTAAAAAAATACAATCATCCGAGTTGCTTTTTAATGACGCGGTTCGACCTTCACATTAAGGACGCTCGCGTTCCTGAGAATGCATGAATCGATTAACCAATTTTTATAATTGATGATTCATAATCGATGCGAAGGAAAAATGCGATGCAGTGTGCGTGAGAAAGAGGAATTTCTGGGCTAGTTGCGAAAGGGACTTTTGACACTCAAGCGACAAGCAATGGGAAGGTGTGATGAGACTACAATTTGGTGTGGACGTGTCTCGCTTGCTGAAAAGGCAGATTCGAAGTATCGATAGGGATATCGATCCAATGAAACATCGTTTTGCCGCTAAAATGCTGTTTTGATAAGAATGGTTCGTGACCGAAACGAGATTTAGATTTCTTGATCACACGAATATGTAAAAAGGAAGGATTTTTTTTTTATCAGTGCAAAAAGTGGAAAATTTGCACGAGATCTATCAGGATTCCACTACTGTAGTAGAATGTATCGTGATTGAATAATCTGAAGAAGCGTTTTTTGCGTGTGTGTGCATGTTCTTGGGGTTTGATACCTCTTCGATAGAATGTGTCAAAGTATATGTTGAGGTAAGAATTTATATTCAGTTCGTAGCAGAAAGGTGCCGAATTGACACGAAATTTATCAAAGTTCGTTTGAGGAAGATAATGTAGTCTCACTCCAGCGCTTTGTGTGTTATCTGAGCTTGTACAGATAAAATAAGCTTGTGTATATGTGTGTTAAAAAAAAGAAAGAAATTTTAGGGAATAATTCCTAAACTTGTCGAATTTGTTGATGGAATGAAATATATCGTGATGTAGTTTTATCCTAGTCTTGCCTGTTCTTAGGTTTTTGATAAAATTATTCATGAGTATATTTCGGAAATAAATTTTCCCCACATCCTCATGTTGTTTGAGGCCGATCATTGGGCTTCCGGGGGGATCCAAACGCAGCAGGGGTGGAGAAGCCATTTAACCAATACAAGTAAGAAATTGCAGTAATTTACTTTTATTAAGTCAAACACTAGAAATGAATATGAATAAATTTGAATAAGTAAGTATATCAAAGAGTATGAATAAGTTTTGTACTTATCTGAACAAGAGGCAACCCCTCGGTCTTGGCAATGCGAAAACCCTGAAATCTTGAATACCAAAAGTTAATACGACAGTATGACTTTGTCACGAATCAATATCACAATATCGTCCACAATGAACTTGTTGCAAGCTTGAATTCCACACGCAGTCTGAAGTAATTTCCAACAGTGACGTCATCGTGCATATTTTATTTAGTTTTTATAATAATGACGTTTTAAAATAAATATGTCTTGTCGTAAGTGGCATCAGTTCTTGCTTGTGTACAAAATTAATAAAGGAAAAGAACGAGAAAATGGCGATTTTGTTTTAAATGTTTACTTATTTAATACAATTACAATCTTCTACATATCTCTATCTCACTGACTATTTATATGTTATTTAGAAGTAATGTTTACTTGTATTAAGACGCGTTGTTCTAGCTTCGAGTGCCAATTTGGCTAGACGAAAGAAAACCAGAATTAGAATGGATAGACCTACGGTGCAATATCTGGGCATATGGCTCTCGAAGCGAGCCTCCATCCCATGTCTGGAAAGCAGATGTTGAGCGACTGATATTATCATGCTGGAGAGTAGATAGCTTCTGATTGGTCGAGCCAATCGTTCAGAAAAGTTCCAAATTCATGATGATTTTTGAGTACATGGGTGAGAGCTGAGTGTTCGCTCTCTGATTGGATCATGGCAGGTGAGGATAGTGACTTTCATTGGCTGTTCAAATCTCTCACGAACCAATTTAAGACTAAAAGGGGAGGGGAAAGCCCAAATGTGAGGAATACGACAAATGAAAAAATGAAAAAGTTAAGAAATTAAATTTAGCAGTGGGTGTGCAATAAAAATTGCACGAAAAATTAATGTTATGGGGAGATTGTAAGAATCGAGAAGAATTCTTCTCGGCCTTTGTGTAATATCATTGGGATTGTAGTTTGGCAGATTTATCATATTGATATTATTAGTATATTGCAGAGAGTTAAAGAAATTTTTGCAATCTTCTGGATGGGAGATTTAAAACTGTTGAGCTTAATGGCTTTCCGGATGTCGTCGTTTCTCATATACCTAGTTGCTTTTATGATCATCCGGATGGTTGAATTTAGAAGAGTATCTAGAATATTAATGTTAGTTTTAGCAGCGTATCCCCACACTGGACAAGTGTAGGCTAATATTGCTCATAACGGCTGTGAAGAGAAGCACTTTGTTATCTCTAGTTAATTCAGAATTTCGGCCAATTAGGGGGAATATATAACTTAAACATTATTTTCCGGAATTTTTCTCGCGTGTGTTGAATGTGTGTTTTCTAAGTGAGGTTTTTATCGAAAATAATACCGAGGTATTTTGTACTTTGAGACCATGGGATTGTTGTGTTTTACATGGTTGGTGGTGGTGGAATTTTACGTTTTGAGTGGATAGACCTCACAGATATCCCATTATTACTAGAGTAAAAAAATTTCTTGAACTTTAAAAAAATTATATAGAAGTTAGATGAATAAATTATTGATAAGGTACTGTTTTCCCCGGATCAATTTAACATTTCCTTCCACACACAAACAGTATACTACCTTCTTTATTTTTAAAACAACCTTTCATTGGCGTAGAAATAGCGTCTGATTGGGACAACGTTATGTTCGTGGATGAGTCCAGATTTATCCTATAAAACGATGATAAGTATGTAAGGGCTTAGGGGGAACAAGGCATACGCAATCGACCCGACAACATCACCGAACTCGCATTCGATGGTGGAAGCATCATGGTCAGGGCAGGGATTTCACTGTGATATCGCACCGACTTGCACATCTACAGGCGTGATTCTACGATGGCTGTACGGTATGGAGATGAAGTTCTAGACTCCACTGTGAAACTGTACTCTTTGACAATTGGTCTTTTGCATGTTTTAATGGGCGATAATACTCGTCCCCAAAGAGCTGCTAACGTTGACTTCTGGAGAGTGAAGGGATTATAAGTAAGGAGTGATCGGCTTACTCGCCGGAGCTTAATCCAATTAAAAAGTTTTGTGATGTCCTCGTTCGTGCTGTATGTAGACGTTTCTTACCTTCAGCTACTCTCAGAGATTTAGAAACTGTCCTACAGGAAGAATGACAATTACTGGTTAATCACCGTGAAACAAGCTTGATCACACGCTATACACTTTGTATGTAGGTGAAGGGTGCTCACATATCCTCTGAATGTCAGTTTTTGTTATTTGTTTTGGAATTAAACATCATTTTGTTAATGACACAAATATGACATCTTATAATTTATGAAAGTTCAATATTTTTTATCTCTGTAATTCTTTGTTCTGTTGCATGAATAAAGCTAAAGCTACTTATACTTGCAGCATTTTGTATCAATCAAAGTAGTACTTGTCCTTTTTTTTTCGCATTTTACCGCTTCGTGTTTAACACTTTTGGAAGTGAGTGTCATTTATATTTGCTCCATAACTAAGGTGAATCATTATCTCATACGCAATAATAATTTCGACTGATATCGCATGTGTGATTAGCCTGGAAATACTATATGTATCATAAATTATTGATTTCTTGATAGTTATTGTAATCAGGGACGTCTTAAGGCATGGACCAACTGAGCCCAGGATCATGACCTCGGAAAGGGGGAGAGGGGCTCGTCTCGACTTGGCCACAGAAAGATCATTATCCGAGTAATTTTAATCGTCAAATGTTATTCTCGGACATGTTCTCTTAAAAACTGTGAATTTTGAAGCATATATCAACAGATAACAATGGCAAGACTGCATTATTATATCAAGTTCATCATCCATTTTTATTGTCTAGGACGACCATCCCACAAAGTACGACTCATTTAGTCGAAAAGCAGCAACGTTTGAGTCGATATGTTCATAGGTTTGTAAGATTGTGAATCGTCTATTTGTTACAAATTACAGTTTCTACTAGTATTTGACAACGTATTCTACATACGATCTACTTAAAATAGTTGTAGATGGCATCTATTTTTGCATAGACCCAGGGCCACGATAGGTCTTAAGATATCATAGAGATTGGGATATATATACATACAGTAAAAACTCAAATTCAGTGGCGCAACAGCTCATGAGGGACAGGGCCTACTGTGACCATCACAGTATATGTGTCCATTGGATGCTAAGGTGCATGAGCAGATGTCCCGAGACCCCCAGTGTTTAAGTCCCCAAGCAAGCTTGGTACTCATTTATCGATCCACTGCAGTAGGAATGAAAGGCTGAGTTGACCTTGTCCAGTCCGGGAATAGAACCCGTACGGTGGTGTGGAAGCGTGATACGCTACCACTCGACCACTGGGCCTTTATGCAATACAATAAAATAAAATAATAAGAGATAAAATTGTACTTTCTACAAGGCTAAGAAAGAATGAAATCGGATTTTAAGAAACATATCAGGAAAATAACTGGTGCAAAAGAATATCGTACTAAAAGTGGATAAAAACAAACAATACAAGAAACAGAGGAATGGAGCTACTAAAATTGAA